TTTATTATACTTTTTTCATTAAAAAATGACAAAAGTGTTGTATTTATCAGCAGCATAAAAAACTTGGGTGAGGTGGGTGATTGCGGCTGTCTGTTTGCCTATTATAGTGGGTGTGAGTGTGTACGTAGTTACATGTGTCAGTATGGATGTGAATATGCATTTTCTCTTCGCTAACGCCCACATCCACATTCACATTCTGTATGTAGCAAACAGTCTCGATTACGACGTTTTGCAAATCAATGGTAAATTATTTTTCTACAGACAAACATGTTACAGGTTTAATTCCTGCGAGAACACTTCATACTTGACTGTGCAATTCTAGTCTTTGTATATTTTGAATGCCATCTATTCGAGCGTAAGGCCTATTCAATGTTAAAAATGTACAAGTAGCATATTTCGAAGATATCGAAAGATTCGACAAATGAAAGAAAATACACGAGTCAATCTTGGAGAAGTTTCTCATTCAAATGTTCTAGAGAGTTCTTTCATATTAGAAATCAATTTATCGGTCCAAAATACATTCATTTCTTCAGGTTTTGAGTGTTATAAAAAGTTTGAAACAATTTGATTACATGACATTTCTTTTTCGAAATAGCCAGTGATTACTGAATTTTCCTAACTGAAAATCATAGTTTACTTTTGTTTATATTGAACAAAGGTTAAATGCCGAGTTTCTACTTACAATTATGTACCAATCCTCAATGAGTCTAAGCAGTTTTTTGCGAAATGAGATCTTATTTTCTATGGCTGAACATGTAAAAAGACTATGCTGCAATATAAATATCGCTGTCCAAGATGACTCGACTGCGCTCTGAAGGAAACTTGACAGTAGTCATCCAAAGGCTCTTACAGTCTGCGATTACAATTCAATAACACTTTAATGAAAGTTCTTTTGTTTTCAACTATAGCTTGTATGATATGTGCGTTTAACATGAGAATAAACTTGACAATGAGACACTGGAATACCCTGATTGTACGACTAACATGATTACTAAAAACTCAAGTCAACAGACTCCAGTGTCAAGCTAAGTTAAACTCCACGTTTAAATGTTAATAGCAATGACTTCGCTCAAACTTTGCTTTTCGAGTCTATTGATAATTACGTATTATGGGTGTGGGTGTGCTGTTGAAAACTACAAAAACACCCATCCACATCCTGAATCAGGACTAGTCCGAATGTTAAGAATGCAGTTTCCTCTTGAGTGACAAATGTGTAGTCCTGAATGGATCGCTTTTGACTAAATGGCTAGTCTTATTATGTCTCTGACGCTCGTCAACGACACGTTAGGATCAATATGTATGACGGGTCGAAGTTCAGACTAGTCATGTAGAGTCGTTTTTGAGACGGCAGTTTTAGTTGCAACTATGTTTGAACGCAAGGAAATGTTTAACGTGAACTGTGCCCAGATGCATTTGATATTCCTTCGATTCAGAAATGTTTTAATAAAAAAAATATTTCCACGTGTTTTTTATTTAGCGGAAAATGTATATATCAACGATTTCTATAAAATTAAGTTAGTCTGAAAAATGTCGAATGCTCAATAATTTTGAAGTTCTATTTTCTCATGAAAGACAGAATAGAATAGGTACATATATTCTAAAACATCAGTAGTCTAAAATTAAAAAATGATGAAATTTTAGAAAAAATTTAAATGAATTTTTTTCCAAAACAAAAAATAGTTGCCACAATTAGACGTTTTTTAAATTAGGTAATTCAATTTTCTTTTGCATGAGTAAACGTATTTATATGCACATAGCATTTCGTTAACACATGCATTTGTAAGTAAGTTTATAATAGACGATCCATATATAGCTTCTGTTTCCTTCTATAACTAATATGATCACATATGGCTCAATGGTATGTATATTTGCTTTCTAATTTCATTTCTATCATTTTAGAAACATTAAAATTTAAACTTTTCATTGATCTGTAGTTAGGCACAGACCATCGTTAGGCAATATCGATGGCGACTCAGATCAAACCTAAAACGGGTTTTAATACATTTTGAAATTTAAAACATTGAATCGACCGCGTCAAGACACAAGAAATGCAGCACTGGAGACGCGTCTATTGCGTTCGTCTGTTGCAATTTAGACGCACAGGAAATGCAATTCAGACGCATTTTTATGCAAAAAATATTTAGATAGGAAATCTTGTGTACACAGAGCTGAGCAATTTCTGTATGTGAGTAGACAAAGGAAAATCATTTTAATGCGTAAAAGTACTAGCCATAGCAACTGTGGGAAATTCTTCAGATCTATTTTATGTGGAAAGGACGTTTCGACGATTATTCCATCCTGGTTTATTTTTTTGATCAGGCAGATTTTTAAAGACACTTTTAAATATAATTTTTTTATTTAATTCGATCAAATTAACATTAATATATAATACACTAGTATAAACAATGATATGAAGAATGTGTGTTTGAAATAAAGTTACACTAAACTGATTCGCACTATGTTTTATTGTTCATTCGATTAATTCTTCCTTCATTGAATTTATTCCCCAATAATCTGTTGTTGAATGACCGAATAATGTATATAAAGTTTGATTAACAATAGGATTCGAATACATCCAATCAATACCAATTAAATTTTCTTTCGAACTGCATGTGTAATCTATCGTCTCTAAATTTAAATTTAACTCTTGTTGATACAAAAATTGAACGATAATCTGATCTGTACATGTTGTTGATTGAAATCCATCTTGTTTGGTATACGATTGCACACTAGTAACATGAGTTAAACCTTTCATTTCGATTAATTTTGTACGAATATGTTCAGATTGAAACCATACTTGAGTTTGGTATGCTGTATACATTGGTGAATTATAATCTAAATCTCCATTCAATAACAATGCACCACCTTCACTTGATCGAAATATTTGTGGATCAACTTGAAAATGTCCCCAATAACGAGGATCTTTTGTATATAAAATATCAGTAAATACAGATGGGATAGTATAATTATATTTCGACTGCTGTGTTTCACGACATACGGGCATCGGACCTGTTGGTGCTAAGTAATATTCATTGATAACACCGCTATTGATACAAAAATCATTGAAAAAACTAGCATTTGTTTTGAAATTTTCTTCCAACGTGAAACCAACAAAATCACTCCAAACTGTTATTATACTTAAAACATTTCCATCATCTGGATAAGCACCAGGTGGGTCGACTAAACTTGGCGCTAACGATTTTTCCGCTAAGGCAATCAAAATTGGTAATGCACGAGCTAAAACTCGTTGATCTTCAGTTGAACAACGATAAAGACGTGCTACGAGTATTGCAGCAAGTGGACGAACAGTAATAAGTTCGATACTTTGACTTGCTATCAGCGTAAATAAATCCCAACTATTTAATCCTAAATTAATTGTACACATAGGGTTTGTTAGATTAGTCAAAAAAAGCATTTGTAATGTTAATGTAAAAGCTATAATATCTTCATCAGTACCAGTAACAAGTTTAAACGCTTTTGCACACGATATATCATTTTGACATTTAGATAAATACAAATAAAATCGATTGTTGATTGATTTCATTTGATTTTGAAAGGCATCAGACTTTTTTATCGACATTATCTCATCGAGAATTATTCCGTTGATTGGTTGTAATCGAGAATGAATCGATTGAATTGATAGATAATATTGAATAATAGTTGTACCTAATTTCAAAAGAGAACATCACATGCACATTAGCGACAAATCAAACTTCTTTCAGCGAACAAAATCTTTTGTAAACAGACTTTTGGACAATTTGACTATAATATTTTTCTATTAGAAGTCACAAGGTAATGTTATATTTGTTTAGCCTAATCATAATAGAATATTTTTCTTTTGAAGATGAATTTCAGCACCCTTAGTTATTTAATGGAACAAAAAATGTTCATGTCCTCAGCTTATCTTATGTTTACCTCATACTAATCTCATTCACTAATTAACTGTTTCTCATGCATTCTATTATAGTTATGGAGGAATGGTATTGTATTGCTTGCCTCCCAAGGTGCGAAGAAATTCATTGAATAGAAAATCTTCTCTCCGTATTAATTTGATCAAAAAAATCTATCATAAGCAAATATGTTCTATACTTTTTGTGATATTTCGTTGACTATCAATTAATACCTTGACTTAATCCATAGATATACGTGGATGTTGGAGATAATGATTGTGATTCATTAATAGAATATTGAATTTGATATTGTAAATCTTGTGCAATATTTTGATTTGTCATAGCATTGATTATTCTTAACGATTCATTGAAAGAAGTGGGTACAGTTGTTTGAATTAATTCTTTGGCACAATCAATCCACGTTGTCGCAGTATAACAATGAATCGATGGTTTACTCAATCCTGCTCCTCGATATTGAAAAAGATATATTATTGGATGTGTCTGAGGATATGTTTGATGATAATTATTTTTAACAATTTGTTTCAGCATTGATATACCAAATGTTTCCATTCCATATTGAGAACCACCACCACCATTCGAAAGCCAATAATTGATGATGCGTTTGATAGTGGAAGTATTTCTTGGTGGGAAATTAGATAAAAATAAACGCTTCATATGTAGATCAGTCACGAGAATGAACTTTGTTGAATTGTAGTAGAAACCATCGAAAGTATTTGGATTGAATTCATTCCATTCAAGTGGACTTGTCAAACACATGCATTCAGCTTGAATAGTCATATTGTTGTCTATGATTTTATTAAATGATTCATCGTTAAATGGACAGGAATACCAAGCCAAAGTTATTGAACATGAATCCAAAATAAAGAATAGCTACAGTCGTCAAGTCATTGTTTTTTGATTTTGTGCCTTACTCGTAGATTGTCGACGTGTGGATAGATATGAGGAAGAAATTTTTCTTCTTCACAATATGTGACTAGAATAGTAAGTGTATGCGCGTTCTGCCTTCTATTCTGCCAACTACTTATCATTTAAGAAGCGTTTGTCAAATAATGACGTCATATATAGTTCAATAATTGTCATTACAACAAAGATAAATATCATGATTGTATTCACACAAGGAGTCAGCAACTGAGGACAAGTTGCTCATATTTACTTTCTTCATGTCTCTCTCAAATATGCATCGAACCTTGTCGCAGATTAAAACAATAACATTCGGCACAGTATTTAAATAGAATTTGATTTTGTATTCATGAAGATTTAATCTCATTAAAATACTACATGAAACAAAGCAACTGATTACTTACATCGCTAGATTAATTCAGGCGATACCTTAATTCATTTATCTCGATGACATTCTAGATGAAAAATATTAAATTAAAAAATCTCAACCCAATATGTCAAACTAGATGGAACTTCTGGCTTATTTATAGATCATTTTTAGCCTCCACGAGAATCCTTATAACTTTCTTATTACAAGGAATAGAGAGAGAGAGAGCGGAGTGATCTCAAATTAAAGTCAAAACTAGTGCGCAGCTTTCCATTAGACAGAATACGACACTAAACCCCGCTTTTCTTGGCACAGAAATCAAATATTAAAAGTCTAGTGTACGGGGTGTGGGTGTAAGCCTTCTCCTTATCTACAACCCCACCCACGCCTAAAATGTCTTCTTCCTTTCGGACAATTTAAAACGAAAACGAATAAGAAACGAATTGAGATTATTCTGGTAGAAATATTCACTAATGGCTGGAACATCAAAGATGACTACAGATGAAAGATCTCTTTTGTGAGGTAGATTTCAAAACGTGAAAAAGTCAATTAGGTGAGTATTTGTGATGGTACATAAAATAATAATGTTCGATGAGATTGTATGATTGGTTAAATCAAGCACAGGAAAGGGGCAGGAATCTTTTTTTGAGAAAAAATACTGATCTTAGAACTTTTTCAGATATAAAATCAACTGCATAGTAGGATGCAGAAAAAAACAATGGCTGAAAATCGATAGCTATGTGAAAGATAAATGTATCATGCTTGATACCTTTTGACAATTCATATTTCGTACACCCAGAATGAAGTATATGAAACCTACATACAATCAAAAACGAACGTATTTTTTCTTCATTGATACGGAAAAATATGATCATAACACTGAATAGTGTAGTAGTTTAGTATACAGCAATTTATAGTCATGCACGAAAGTATTTGATCAGATTTTTTTAAAATTTATTTGTTTTAAAAATGAATAGAGATATAATGTGATAACTAAAAATATCAAAATATCAAAAAAAAGCATAATTCACTTTTTAGATCATAATACAGGAAGCGTTTCTCTTAATTGATAGAAATCTAATTCGAAGATAAAAATAATTAAATGATTATTTTTGGGACAAGATACTATCAATTCGAATTGGCAGGCATTGTCTTGATTTTTGTTTGTTATTTGATTCATTAACGATGAATCCAACGAAATAAACAAATATACTTGCAAAATAAAATGATGAGTTTTTCAAAAAAAAATAATAGTACTTATCACCCTGAAAACATAAAATAGACATATTTCTAATAAAAATTGATCAGTTAAAACTTCCATACCAATGATCAATTTGGATTTTTATTGATTTATATTTTTCCATATACTTTGGAAACATTTCATTTTCTTCTGAAATTTCACAAATAATTAATATTAATAGAAAACAACAATAACGAATAAAGAATAGAAATACTGCTGCTAAAATAAAACAGTAATAATTCTCTGAATTCTTGCTGAGTCAGTCAATTTTACAATGTTAAAAACAGAGCTGGAACAGTCAATATTGAAATAATGATTTTGACGCCTTTGAATTTACTACTGTCAATCCAATGATCGACTTTAATTTTAATCGACCCATTTCTAATATGGGTGTGGGTGTGGACCCCGTGGAAGAGAATAATCACACCCACACCCACACCTACCCACACACCCACCTAAGATACGAGACGATACATAGCCGTGTTCGTAAACCTGTCTGATGCATAACAATCGATGAGGTTTCTCTTTGTTTCCACCGAAACGGAGGAAGATCACGAGACAGATAACGATGAAGAACTATCCATTTGAAGTTCTTTGAACGACAAGATTTTATTTTTGGAACAATTTCATTGTAAAGGCAATACTCTTCAATCGATAATACTTGGAAGTAAAGAGCTGCTCTGATTAAGTTTTTTCTTTATGAAAACGACCTGCTTATGCAACATACCATCGTTGTGTAAACATTAGAACTATATAGTTAGCTGAAACAAATATAATCATCTTGTAGAGCAATATTGATCGTGTAGCAAGGTGTATCTTTCATGTCCGCAGGTATGTCCATTTATGAGAAAAAAAAGATGTTAAGGCGATGCCACACTGCATCAATAAATACGAATATATATTATCAATATGTAGTCTAACTTTGCATGTAAGGAAATACGTCTTTGCTAAAGCCAACAATATAATGTTAAATCAGTCTCGGTGCCCTTCTCGTTTAAGTTCGCAAAATAGTTTCAGACTTCCTATTCATTTGATTCTGGTCAAACCGCGCCGCAGCTGCTACAAGTGACAACATAGGGGGGGCTTTCATTTCATTAACATGTTTATTTGGATATGGGTGTGGCTATATATGCGAGTAGATCAGCATCATCTACACCACACCGTACACAAAAAAATCGAACAATAGAGTTAAATGAATGGAAGATACAAATACGTGAATTCGAAAAAAAGAATGAATAACAAGAAAAATATAACAAATGAGCACTTAGACGACGTTAAAATTTCAGCACATGGTATCAGACTGACTACACAACATCTCCATATGAAATCAAGTGATCCCGCAGGTCTCCCGTACGTCTGATTTTTGCTCCACTCCTGGATCAAGATTCATTGTCAGATGTTGCTGCTCTTGCGTGAACTTTAGTGTATCAATGTTATTTTCACCACCAACAAACTGTCAGCTGCCTAAAATCATAGTCACATTGAAATTCAAAGAATCCTTGATAGGTACTAGTCAACTTACTATAGCCGCTTTTGTTGCCATGACCACCCGTACCAACGCTGTGACCACCACAGGCATTTTCTTCACCAAGCTGTCTACCACGTTCAGCATAATCAGGATTCATTCCTGGATGCTTTTGCTCTTGTGTGAACTGTGATATATCTGTATAATGTTCACCACCAACACGCTGTCTGCTGCCTAAAATCATATTCACATTGAAATTCAAAGAACCCTTGATAGGTACTAATCAACTTACTACAGCCGCTTTCTTTGCCATGACCACCCGTACCAACACTGTGACCACCATAGGCATTCTCTTCACCAAGCTCTCTACCACGTTCAGCATAATCAGAATTCATTCCTGGATGCTGTTGCTCTTGTGTGAACTGTGATATATCTTTATAATGTTCACCACCAACACGCTGTCTGCTGCCTAAAATCATATTCACATTGAAATTTAAAGAATCCTTGATAGATACTAAACAACTTACTACAGCCGCTTTTGTTGCCATGACCACCCGTACCAACACTGTGACCACCATAAGCATTTTCTTCACCAAGCTCTCTACCACGCTCAGCATAATCAGGATTCATTCCCGGATGCTTTTGCTCTTGTGTGGACTGTGATATATCTTTATAATGTTCACCACCAACACGCTGTCTGCTGCCTAAAATCATATTCATATTGAAATTCAAAGAATCCTTGATAGGTACGAATCAACTTACTACAGCCGCTTTCTTTACCATGACCACCAGTACCAACACTGTGACCACCATAGGCATTTGCTTCACCAAGCTCTCTACCACGTTCAGCATAATCAGGACTCATTCCAGGATGCTGTTTCTCTTGTGTGAACTGTGATATATCTGTATAATGTTCACCACCAACACGCTGTCTACTGCCTAAAATCATATTCATATTGAAATTTAAAGAATCCTTGATAGGTACGAATCAACTTACTACAGCCGCTTCTGTTGCCATGACCACCAGTACCAACACTGTGACCACCATAGGCATTTTCTTCACCAAGCTCTCTACCACGCTCAGCAGGATTGTGTGGTATTTCTGGAGGAGATGGATATTCTGAACGCGCGTCATCATTTTTTTGGTCTCCGACTTGTGATGATGAACGTCTAGACATTATGATGAAGTTGAAATGATGTTCGTAATTGTATGAAAGAAAATTGTTTAATGATTGATGTTGAGAGAACAGTAGTCGTATATATAGGCGCGACGTTTTTTCTGTTTTTTCTCTCGATTGTTCGAGAGGAAGAAAAAGCAAAAATCGAATTTTTTTTTCTCTTTCTATCGGTTGTGAAAACGAGGTGAACTATGTAGGAGGCACAATGTCGTGTGTTCGTTCCAGTCTGATACTTATTCTAGAGAATGAAGAAGACAGAACAACAGAAAGAAGAGTTTTGACTTTTCTAGTATAGAAAGGAAGAAAAAATGCACTTCTTTCTCTTCTTCGCGTGATAACATGTGATGCAATATGTGAAGGGTACTAATTTCATTGGATGATAACCATTTCGATAGAAAAATGGGTTATTTTATGAGAGAACGAAAAAAAAAAACAGTCGTTCGGTCCAGATAACAATGAACATCGATCGAGATGGAGCGAAAATAGAGTTGAGATGAGTTAGGGGTCGAACACACTAGAAAAATTAAAACTGAATTAACCAATAATTTGTCTTAAAAAGATGATTTAAGGCCCCCTCCCCCTCAAAAAAAGTCGAAATGGAGATAAATGCATGGGAAGATAGCCCGTGATCTGCTCTTTCATAGCTGATAAAAAGTTTTCGTCGATACCTCCTTTTTGTCCAAAATTTTCGAAGATTTTCGTCAACCCCTATTCGAAAAACCAGCTGTTTTTTGAAAAATTAAAAAATGTTTTTCCTTTTTTCTCGGTTTATGACTTTTTGATCTTTTGTCCAAGATTTCTCGGTCCAGGCTCTTTCAATATATTTAAATTTTTGTTTGTTTGAAAGAGCATGTCCAGGTGCAGGGCACCACAGAGTCTTTTTTTTAATTAAGCTTTATTTTTTATTATATATACAGACATTTATGTAACTAGACACCCATTTTTGGCGCTTTTTTTGAGTCATTGAACTTGTGATCCCTTTTCCGCTAAAAAAGTAAGAATTAAAAAAAAACAACGCTGTGGTGCCCTGCATCCTGACATGCTCTTTCTAATAAAAAAAAATAAACATATAGCATGAGCCTGGACCGAGAAATCTTGGACAGAAAATGAGCTATTTTTGACCCTTGTTTGGTTCACATCTCTGTCAAACGTCATAGTATCGAGCTGAAAATTTTACCACAGCCTCCTCACTTCAGCCCCAACATATGCTCCAAATTTCAGTCCATTTGAACATATCTGGGCTGAGATCGATTTTTGAGGGGGAGGGGGGCCTTAAATCTGAATTAACCAATCACGATTCTTAATTCAGTTTTTATTTTTCTAGTGTGTTCGACCCCTTACTTGCACATGCTAAATTCAAAATTGTATGTACATTATCCTTGGTCGATGAAATTGTTGGGAATACATTCCAACTTTTACTGATATTTATCCAAATGTTGTTTGACATACATGTATCGAAATCACATCTGTGCTCAGACAAAATAAAAAATGACGGTATTTTTTGTATGAGAGTATTTTACAGAATGTAGCGGGTATTCGTTTCGTGTAGTATATTATATTTGTTGGAATTAACTAATATTGATTATCTCTAATATAGATAACATGAATCATTGATCATCGATCGAAAAATACTGAACATATGGTCGAAAGACATAGGCTTTTTACTGTAATGATATTTGACAATCATCGTTGCAATAAGAATTAAAGAAAAACTAAGTTTTTATATCGACATTTTCATTTTTCCCTGGAATTCTTTAATGTTGATTTGAAAGCATTTTTCTTTCGTTTGAGTAAAAAACTGTTTAACAGATGAATCATTTTGAAAAGTTGAGCAAAAACATTTTCAATAGGTTTGGTTAAGATGCCATTGGGATTAGCCATTGATTTCAGAGAAAATAAAGCATCGGGGTCAATCATCTTCAGCTTTTGATGTAAATATTCCTAATCGATGGATTCATTTAAAAATAATGAAATAACAGAAATTTGTTGCTTCCTGAGATGTACATCTGTACAATTTTCATCTAAAGACCACACCATGCTAAAATCAATGAGTTATCGGGTGTCCCAGGAATAATGAGCCTCCCAGTATTTTTAAGATTTCCTGTCTATTATCACTGTAAGTAAAGCTCTCATTATTATCAAAAGATAGCGCTTAAAATTCTCTACAAAACCA